ACATACTTTATATGTTTTCTATGTGTATCTGAGACACTGATAGCACCAATTTACACCATTTCAATTTACAATCAGTTGATGACTTCACTAATTGCAAAATATGCTTGTATCACGTAAGTGACGAGTAGTGATGGTAACCCCCCCCCCCCCCCCCCCCCTCAACCCAAAAAACCGAAAATTTTATTCTTCTTTTAATGCCAAAATCACGTTCGTTTCAGCCAACCATATCACTGTACAGAATAAAGTTTTACTTTCGGTTCCTCTGCAAATAGACTTAATTTCTACAGCTCTTTAGAAAACTCTTCAGAATGTTTTCTGAAACTGAAAAAAAGTGCTCTTGATTTTGTGCTGAAAACCTGCAGACAATCCCGAAATGGAATCCAGAAAGACAACATCATTGTTGGGTTCGATTAGGACTCCTCTACTTTTGGATTCAGTATAATTTTCAAAATTGATCTAAAATATTATTTAGCCGATTGAAACCCATTATACCGATATACACCAGTCAAGAGGGCGTTTAGACTGTTTGAAGTGTGTCAAATGTCATTCTGCTATCACGATCGATCAATATGGTCCTCCAATAATCCAATATTTTTGCAGGTATAGTTCATTGGATACACATGTAATCATTTCAATATTTACTTTACCGACTGATTAAACTGATCTTTTACCTATCTGTTTTACTTTCGAGAATAATAAATGACACGTGGTTCGTGCGCAATTTAACTAAAATCCTACCGACAGAAGTGACCTCTGTTGAGTTTTGATCCCTTGCGATGAAGAAGTGTTACTAATTGAATATCAAGCGCGATCGATATCGTAATATTGTTCACGGATCGTAATAATGGAAATCGGAGTATTACTAACGGATTATCAGGAATGACAGTTTAGATATCAACGGATCGGTAATAGTTGCTACTGTGGCAAGCGGTATTAGAAACAGCAGTTACCACATAGAAAATATCTCGAGATATCTTATAATTATTGATGTTTGGAACGCAAAACTGATATCATTCAGTCCTTATTTCGCTAAAAAAAAGTTTTGGAATGACAGATATGAAATAAAGTACATTGAAAATTCTTTGATATATCGTCTACTGTTATAAATTTGGTGAATTCTTAGCCTATTAAGAAGTTAGATCGATTTTCTGAAATAAACTTCTTCTGTGAGCCGTGTTGTGTAGGGAAAAACATAAAGTCAAAAGATTTCTATATTTCCATATTTTTGTTTAGCGGAATTTTTTTGTTGAAAAGAAATGGAGTACATTGGAATCACACTTCTGTGGATTTGTTATTATCATTCAACTCAGGGTAAGTACATTATTTATTTTATACAAGGACCATGTAATTCCACTAATTTTGATTGGTTAAATTTTACATGACCCAGAACATGAGACGCATGAAAATTATGTCAATACATAGATGAATAGTGTTGTTACCCACAAAAAAATTACGAAACCAAACAATCAGATTTGCATTTTACTCAGCTTTATGGAGCAACATTTACTGGTAAAGAGTCTGCAATGCCCCCACCCCCGAAAAAAGGGATCGTAATAAACACCATACACCATTGCTCCTCCGGATATATTACTTGGTCCTCTGGATTTATTACTTGCTCCTACAGATATAATACTTGGTCCTCTGGATTTATTACTTGCCCCTCCAGATATATAACTCGCCCTCCGAACAATCAAGTCTGACTACGGACCTGGCACTCGCAATTGTTTAAAGTCATTTAAAGAACATACAGATCCAATATTTTACAGCTTGCTGTCCTACTTGGGCAACTGGAAGTTCCTACAATCCCCATACAGGAAAATGTCATAAAGTTTCTAATGATAAAGAGAGTTGGGCTGCCAGTAGAAGTGCATGTCGGAATCTAGGAGCTGTACTAGGAATCGTCGACACAGTCAATGATACCAACTTTGTTAGAGGACTAAGGTATGAAGAGTTTCTTTATTTCCGGAAATCTATAGATGGTTTTATTTTCTCGGCTGAAATCTATAGATGGTTTTATTTTCTCGGCTGAAATCTATAGATGGTTTTATTTTCTCGGCTGAAATCTATAGATGGTTTTATTTTCTCGGCTGAAATCTATAGATGGTTTTATTTTCTCGGTTAAAATCTATAGATGGTTTTATTTTCTCGGCTGAAATCTATAGATGGTTTTATTTTCTCGGCTGAAATCTATAGATGGTTTTATTTTCTCGGCTGAAATCTATAGATGGTTTTATTTTCTCGGTTAAAATCTATAGATGGTTTTATTTTCTTGGCTGAAATCTATAGATGGTTTTATTTTCTCGGCTGAAATCTATAGATGGTTTTATTTTCTCGGCTGAAATCTATAGATGGTTTTATTTTCTCGGCTGAAATCTATAGATGGTTTTATTTTCACGGCTGAAATCTATAGATGGTTTTATTTTCTCGGCTGAAATCTATAGATGGTTTTATTTTCTCGGTTAAAATCTATAGATGGTTTTATTTTCTCGGCTGAAATCTATAGATGGTTTTATTTTCTCGGCTGAAATCTATAGATGGTTTTATTTTCTCGGCTGAAATCTATAGATGGTTTTATTTTCTCGGCTGAAATCTATAGATGGTTTTATTTTCTCGGCTGAAATCTATAGATGGTTTTATTTTCTTGGCTGAAATCTATAGATGGTTTTATTTTCGCGACTTAAATAATCAACCACAATCAGTGGAATAGCACCAGGCGTTTTTGCATAAAATGCATTCTGCATTCGCCCATACAGCAGTTGTAAAAAGTTTTGATTACCTCTTTACAATCCCTTTAAACCAACACCCATCTTGTTTATAACTGTCTTGTTTACAACTGTCTTGTTTATAACTGTCTTGTTTATAACTGTCTTGTTTATAACTATCTCTATTTATATCTTTACCATGCAGAGGTGGTGATATTTGGATGGGCATCAATGATTTAGAGACGGAAGGCGTGTTTACTCACAATGGAAAGAACATTACTGTTGAGCTTTGGAAGGACGGTCAGCCAAACGGAGACATTTATGATGACGGCCAGGATTGTGTCATAATTGATAGCAACAAAGAATGGCAAGACAAACATTGCGACAAACCCTACCATTTTCTCTGTGAATGGCCTGTAGTGAAAGGTAAGGTTTCATTCATTGTCGATAAAACCACGCCATCTATCAATGAGTAGATGGAACCGTATTTCATTTTATCAAAATAGCTTTGTACTATAACCAATTAAACAAATGTTTTCATCCCGGGTGGGGGGGGGGATGCGTGTGTTCATATTGGCCAGTTTAAAATCACGTGGCATCATGCCCTCATTGCACACAGCAAGACTCAAGTTAATTGAGTATTCAATTATATTATATTTACAGACGAATCCAGTGAAAATTATCACGCATAGTCAGTAAAAGATTGGGGGTTTGTGAATTGACGCCTCTGTTCTTGCAACAATTGCTACATTGTTCACTGCAAGGCGTTTTCTTTTTTACATTAGTCAATTGCAGTATTATTCTTTCAGAGCATTCCACTGATACATTGAAATTTATAAAGTCAGACAACATATCGATATGTAATCATGAAATCATGCCTCCTGGAATCGTCACAGTAAAAGATCTGCTGTTTTGTGCCAACCTGTGTCTTCAATACACTCACTGTGTGAAGTTTGCTTTTATTTCAACTGTTAACAATGCAAATTGTATCTTATATTCTTATGGACTTTCACATAACGAAACTGTACCGAATTATTTTCAGTTATATACTTTACTATAAAACAAAATGGCGCCCTGAGGCCAATCTTCACAATGTCAAATTATTATTACGAATTGTGTTCTTGTACCTTGACTGCAATTGTCATATTTCCTATATCTTAGAAGTTTGTAAATGCATCGATTTGAGTGGATTGAACGCAGATAGGCTGTTAACATTTTGGCTCCGCATGTAATCAGAGACTCTGATTGGTTGTATTGGCTAACGTACAATCCAATACAATCCGTATCGGAAAGGTGACGCAGTTCACAACAGCTTGACATTGTGAAGAAGTCATGGTTTTAATGCCGACAGAGTGCCACGGCCATAGTGCAATCTACACCAAAATGAGGCTGGTCTGGGTAGATTTAAGATACACAAAAGACACTTCTAAAGTTTATTTGTCGTTTCAAAAGTGATGCCTCCATTACCCTACGACCTTGAATACAATATTTAAGAAACTTCCGCTAGATCATGGACGGCATGTGTAGCTGCCCATAAAAAAAAACCATAAATCAGAATCGAGATTTGCTTTTAAATAAATCAGATTGTTATTATGAGGACTAATTAAAAATCATATTTTTGTTGTTTTTGGGGTTTTTTTTTTGATAAAGCCACAGTAAAATAAAGTCATTCAGTCCCAATGCAAACAAATTATATTACTCAAGAAATGAGATAAACCACAGGCGTATTGTAAATTGATCAGTTTCCCCCGATACACACCGGCATTTTGTATCGCGATGTATCGATTTCATCGATATTTCTTGGGAGCACTATCAGCTAATGCGAATTACTTAATACTCTATATGCTCTCAAGTACATCACTTAAGCGTAAAATGGATAAAACAAAAGCAAGCTAGTTTTTTACTCGTTTACATCAATTAAACAAACCTTAAACTTATTTTGTGATGATAAATAAAAAATCTGTTACAATCGGCAGAATTCTAAAGATGCTGTTATGGATTAAGCATACACTTTAAATAACTATAGAAATTTAATGGAAAATAATTCTACATACGTCTTGTATTAAAGATCATGGTTCACCATCTTCGTAGCTCAATCGAACCTTAGTGTCAGACAAGGGAATTGCTAAGCCTAGCTAATATTAGTGTTTTACCAGTTCATCGTCGAAATTTTCACCTTCATAATTATCCGTGTTTGAAAATACAATGACGTCTCACCTTTCATGATTCAGCCATAAATGTAGTACAGTAAAGGACTGGATAATCAAAAATTGGCAGGACTCCGTATTCCCTATACGGACATTATAGACCTTATCAACAAGACAAACAATTTTCGGGTACCCCAATTTTCAGGCAGATGATAAACTGGTGAAAGAAAAAAAGTAAAATTCTTAGTTTAAGATTTTTTGAAGGAATTATGCAATTTTCATATATTTCTCGTACTTCTGTAAGTTCTGAAGACTATTTACATATATTCAAGAATAAAATCAACCCCAGAAAATATCGAACTTTGACCTTAGTGTCTGTATATTCAATGAAAGACTTATAAAACGAAAGTTATGATGTTTCTGAAAATATTTCCACGATTTCCTCTTTTGACTTTATCAAATATTAATGAGAACTTATCACATCGGTCTTTTACAGTTCGATACTATTGATAATATCGGATCGTGTTTCATTACTGTAATGTAACGGATCAATATGGATGATAGATTGTATTGTATATTTCAAAGAACTTTCGCACACAATCAAACATATTTTGTTATATATCGATTACAAATAGTGAGAACAATAATAATAAAACTCGCATGCCTTTAATAATTTATACTAGAAACTTTTTATACTGAAAGGCCAGCGAAACGAAATATACTTAACAGACACTGGCAGTTACATAATAATAATAATAATAATAATAATAATAATAATAATAGTTTATTAAAGATGGGTTCCCTTATTTTCATTTATGAAAATGAAAATGCTAATATTTATATGAATAGAAAGTAGAGGTGTTCTAATGACTTGGAAAAATACCAGTTTGTCTCACATGTCCATAATTAATTCATAATTAGCTAAATAAGAAGAGAATTACTAGCAGAATTCCAATGAGTGACCGATCAAGAAAGGTCAAAAATTCTTTTTTTGTTTATTCAGACTGTACATTCATGGACATTTATGATTGGTTAAAACTCTTATATGCAATAAGAACATAATGATATGATTAAGAATACATGATAATTCATAAGAAACACCAATAAATCAAATAGTTTGCTTAATTTGACACTAAAATAATAAGGAAAACCATCTTTAAGGTAAAGTATTTTGGTCAAAGGCCCATAGTACACTCCATAACAACAATATTACAGCAATATAAACAGGTCCTATATCTGTGTTTCTCTTATGTTTTACATGGACATGCATAACTTATCAAGGATATATTTCTTTGGGATATCTTTCCCTTTCGTTCATTGCTATATTAACAAATTTACACACTTAAATGATTACGGTTTCCTGAGACTTGTGTAGCAATCTTATGGTAGAGTGATCGTGACTAAAATAATATTACATATTCTGTGGTCAATAAACTCATTAAATATTCTTTATGTTGCTTTATAGTTCATTTAACACTGTCTTTTCTTATATAATATATATAGGCATTTGGAAATGAAGATATATTTTAGATATATCCACGGTTTTTTTTTTTTTGTCATTCAGTATATTTATAAATTAATATTTAAATGGTTCGTAAAAGGATGATAAAAAGAACCTCGAAAATAATACAGTTGTTGAAAAAATAAGAAGCAAATAAAAGAAAGATCACTCCGTCTATAACATTAATGGAAAAACCAAAATTCACTTCACAATATCATCATTTTTTAGTTTTCTTCCTTTCAGAAACCAAACGATTCATTCCAGGGTTTAAATAAAATACCACTGCAGGCCAAAATTTATCCTCTAACTTAACAAATAGAACAATTAAAATTTTCTCACACTTTAATGATTTAACACAGATTTCGACGAATCCTAACTTCCTATTTAGGGCTTTTAAGGAGATGTTAACACTTTGACGCTGTCACTACGGCACACCATTTTCGAATACATCACGTGCCGTAATGAAGTCACGCGCCGTGTCGTTAAAATGACGTGTGTTATGACAAAATGTCTACGTCAGTAATGAAAAGAACTTGACCTGATGGGGTCGAGTCTCCTACTGTTTGTTGATAAAAGATTTAACGGTAAAACTGTTGAAGAATTAATTCCGCCATTTTGAAACTAGCAGACGACTTAGGTCTGTGGTGTAAGAATCCCGAGGGGTACAAAATGGCGTCTATTCTACCGCTCTTCACGGGAATTGAAGTACCTATTACCCTCACGGCAGTCTAATTACATGAAGAAGAATGGAAGTGACATGTTCGGGATGAGCTAGGGATTATGTTGTATGTAAACACCCCATGAACTGATCATTGAATCAATTTAATTCTTGTCAAAATACTGGAAACGATTCCACACGACTCCAGTCTGTTGCTGACATCTCCAGAAAATCTTGGAACAACTTATCCATTCTTGAAACATAGTTCCAACTTAGAGGACCAATGCCGCAAGACAGAGAGGACATTTCATTAAGTCGAAACTAAAACGGTATTTTGGAAGAAAAAAAAAAGTGGGTATCTTTCAAAGAGTTCTTTCTTCACGATAGGCCATCCGGAAATTTTTTACAGGCAAACTGGTGAACAATTCATGCGCAATGCAATGCTAAATGGATAGCCTGTTTGTACCTGGAATATTTTGGATTTAATTCTTGAAAACGGAGCTAATTTGATTTCTTTCGCACCTTATTTAACAGTGTTTTAGAAATTCACGAACTGTTTAAAGACAAGGATTTCAATAGTCCACGGTCAAATGTCGTTTTCAGAATACGGAGAATTCTATCAAGAGGACCAAGAAACTTATGAGTTGGAGTCCAATCAGCAATACTCTTTACCCGCAGACGAGAGTTATCCCTCTTGTCAGATACAAGAAAAGGAACTGCCATCATGCGCGTTCGCAAATTATCCAAATATGGAAGAAATGCCAGACGAAGATTGTTATCAAATGAACGTTATCGAACCACATACGTTTCCGAGGTTTGCGTTCACCGGAGAACGAGGTACGGCGAATGTTCGCGAGAGAAAACGAATGCTAAGCATTAATTCAGCCTTTGAAGAATTAAGATGCCATGTTCCTACTTTTCCTTATGAAAAACGACTCTCAAAAATTGACACACTGCGCCTGGCTATAGCCTATATTTCAATGTTAAGAGATATATTACTTAGTGGGGATGATCCTTTAGAGTTTGTTGAATCGTCATTAAACGAGGGTCAAAATAAAGCGGATTGGAATACAAGCGGTAAGTTAAAAATTTCCAATAACTTATTCATAAAACGAAATAATAGCTTTAATTATTTTTTAATCATTTATCTATTTATTTAATTCCTTATTCATTTCTGAATTTATTTATATATTTCATTATTCGCTATTGCATTCTTCAATTCTTCATTTTGATATAAATATTTATTCATTGTTTTTTTTTATATTTTATTTCATTATTTGTGTAGCTATATATGTTACTTTAAATGTTTTTAATTAATTTGATTTGTTATTTCATCATTTGATTAATTTTTCACGTTGTATTTTATTATTTTTTCTATAAGTTGTGTATTTATTTTATTTCAATAATTGCTTATTTTTTCGTTTTGGTATTTTATAAATTGTTAGATTTTTAATACTTTGTTGAGTTATGTCAATAAATATTATCCCAAATAAATAATATAGATACATAAGTTCTTAATAAATACTAAATACATAGTTGTAAATCGGAACATAGCTATTTTGCATTTTTCAACCGAAGCTATTTATTTAAAAAAACAATAAAAAAATTCTTAAATTTAAGAAAAAGTAACAATTCGTCCGTTTTAGTGCGATGAATGTGTCCTCTGAATATTCACAAATTTACAAAAGAATCTATAGTCGATCAGTTATATTTAAAGATAATCGTATTATAACCTTTTTATATTTTTAGATCTAACAGCAAGATTATCGTGGGTAAAATGGGAAAGTCTCGGAGTTCGACGTCGACCATTTTTAGCTAATCTACCTGGGACGGGGGGCCATGGTGGATCGGTCTGTGATGAATAGTAGGTGAGTGACAAAAGTGCGTATGTGTATAAGCTTACTACAAAACTCTCCCCATACAAAATTAAATGAAATGGAATGAATTGAGTTTTACGTCCTTCTTTGATTGGTCTAATGAAGACGGATATAACCATACGCAAATCGGAAATTTGTTTACAAATTAAGTATTGTTGTAAAAAAAAATTGTACAAGTATACAAGCAAGTATTTTTTACAAATCAAGTATTATTTATAAATCAAGTATTATTTACAAATCAAGTATTATGTACGAATCAAGTATTATTTACAAATCAAGTATGATTTACAAACAAGTATTATGTACAAATCAAGTATTATTTACAAATCACGTATTATTTACAAATCAAGTATTATTTACAAATCAAGTATTATTTATAAATTAAGTATTATTTACAAATCAAGTATTATTTTGAAAAGTATTATTTTATTATTTAAATAAAGTATAATTTACACGATAAAGAAAGTATTTTATCATTATTTACACATGTTTTAAGTTCTTGAAATCTTGTTTACAAAATATAATACTTTTTTCCTGAATTCTGGAAAATGAAATATTAACGAATATTATACAGCTATTGTACTTAAAGTATTCGATATTCATATACCCGAATTGTAATCTACAAATTACAATTTACAGATATATTATATATTTTATCATTTCAAATTACGTATTGTTGTTTCTAAAGTATCATTTATAAATATCATTTTAAATTGATACTATTCTTCTTCCCGAAGTTAAATTTACAAAATTTACTTGATTCGATTATTTTTAAGAATTATTTCTTTCGAAGAATAAAAATATAAATATTATTGTTTTCGAGAATTATTTACTAAATAACGTATTGATTTTTAATCATTATCAAATATTGTTTTCAAGTATTATTGTATTGGAATAATTATTTACAAAGAAAGTATAATTTTCCTGATATTGTATTTACAAATAAACCATTTATTTACAAAATTAAATGCCGTTTCATTGTTTTTCACAAATAAAGTATTATATCTAATGTTTATATTGTCTTTGTAGTAAAAAATCCAAGTGTTTGGTGAAATAATTAAGAGATGATCTCCGTGCAAATTACAATGTTTCATCTAATTTGTCTCCATATGTTAGTCTCTGCATCTAATCATACAGCCTGGCGGCATTAGGCACTTGAGTTTTCTCACTGGGCTACCATTTTGAACGTCGTCTGCAAATTTCAAAATGGCGGGATTTACTCCATCACAACTTTACAGTTAAATCTATTATGCACTAACAGCTGGAGGAGGTTCGATCAATTCAGATCAAGTATAGTCCATATGTTGTATTGATAACGGATAAGGGTAAAGTGTAATTCTGGCCACAAATGTATAATGATCTTGAAACTTCAAAAGAGAGAATTAAAGAGAATACGTCGATTTTCCTGTCAAAGGCACTTATCGTGGCGTCAGATTTATTTTAGAGTTGGTCAACGAAATCAGAAATTTTACGTTATTCGCTTCCAAGAAGAAAATATGTTACATGTTTATGCCTAGTTTCTTCGACACCAAATCCACAATACTCCTTCGCTGATTTTTCTTTACAGTCCTCTGTCCCCACTTAAAATCTTAATGATAAAAAGGAACGAGGGGAAGTAACTCCAATTTACTTCAGACCACAAAACAATGCCATCCAACGTATATGTGATATGAAGCTGCTTGATTCGCCCAGCATTCAGACTTTAATCTTTGGATGTTTTTGTGCAACCACAAAAACTAAACTAGATTTGAAACAGGCTTCTAACCGTGTTCATCTTCATTGCAGCAAGGGGAGAGAACAATGTTATAATTCAGACCACAAAAGGATTGAGTTCATTGTCCGTTATTGAACGATATCCACAGGCACAAAATATAACCTCTTATGTTCTCAAGTTCATTGGAGCAAGGGAGAGAACAATGTTATAATTCAGACCACAAAAGGATTGAGATCATTGTCCGTTATTGAACTATATCCACAGGCACAAAATATAACCGCTTATGTTCTCAGGTTCATCGGAGCAAGGGGAGAGAACAATATTATAATTCAGACCACAAAAGGATTGAGTTCATTATCCCTTATTGAACGATATCCACAGGCACAAAATGCTCTCAGATGGGAGAGAGTCTGTGCTTCTCAATCTCGCCCAAACGAGAGTTGCGATCTGCTACCCCTATTCATATTTGCCACAGTGAAAAAAGAACTTCCCCACAGTAAAATGGTCAATACATCGATTGGGTAAACACAAGGTGCAACTACATCCAATAAAAACTATCTTAGTAGCCTAACCTACGGAGAAACCAATACATTGATATTTTGTACAAACGGTCTATCGTGAAAGTTTCGCCAGCGCGCTACAACGTATTACGGTGTTTGATGGTGGCCAGTGTTTTCCGGCATTGTCCGAATTGTCCCGTGATCACATGATTCTCATAGTTCAAAAAATCAAAGACTTCGTTTGATAAGAATTCGAAATGATAATAAAACCCATTAAAGGCATCAGAAGGCACAAAAATCCGTTCCATTCATTACCGAGATAGATTCAGCTTTACGGAAACTGCCGAGATTTACCGAATACTATCAAATGGCATACCGTGAAAGTTCCGCTAGCGCTTGGAAACTGCTGATGATTGCTGAATGGAATAATATTAGTCATTTGGTAACGGATCTTACATGTGACATATTTTCCTCTTTGAAGCGAATTACGTAAAATTTATGATTTCTTTGATATGGTTCAGAAAACGAAAATAAAAATAGGGCTTGCTATCAATTATTGAAAAACGATTCTATTATAAATACCATCATTACAATAAGATTGATAATGATATTCTTATGGATTTATGGTTGCAGGTAAACGACGGTATCGTAAATACATACTTGAAAGTGTATCGATGAACCACATTGTTTGTTACTATTGATAATTGGTTGACCCTGTATTAAAGGGGGATTTACCTCAAATTATGATTCCGTGGAAACCCGACTTTGTCATTCACTTCTCTCGCGAATGCGTCTTATACCATAACATCTTTAGGCACTTTTCTAGGTTTGAAATTCTGTTTGCGGATACCTTACTTTTTCATTCACTTCTCTCATGGCTGACCCGGTCTTCAAAACGTCAAACTATGTTACAAACTGCGTCTAATGCCTAGACATCATTAAACACTTTTCTTGTATCACAAAAAGTTTGTTAATGCATCGATTTGATTCGATTGTATGCTAGCGAATGCAGCCAATCAGAGCCCTTGGCAGAAGTTCTGTAAACAGTATGGCTACTCATGTAATCGAGGGCTCGATTGTTAGGTAGAGTGTCCAGTGATGTCAAGGTATTAGACAAAGGTCGTAATACCTTATGATGGGATGATCTAGGACGGCAATTTGACTAAATTCTGGTCTACCTATTGCTTCTATCGGCTTGATATCTTCACAATGTCAAGCCATTACGACGGCTTATACCTTGACATCGTGAAGATGGGGTATTGAATAATGGATTTATGACTTGTTGAACTAATACTGAAATACCTAGAATGACATCCTTTAATAGCGATATTCAAACTCATGCCTTAAGCTATACACAATCAACAATACCACACGATGCTAGCAGTCCGATATCAGGGGTCGTTAAACTAAGATGAGTCCTTTTCCTTGGATTTTCGTTACTTTTCTTGGTAAGTATCAGTTAAATGTATAATGGAATAAAATGGAATGGAGCTTTACGTCTTATTTTGCTGTAGTAGTTCTGGTTTACGATTAAACCATTTGCCGCGGCATTAGTATTGTTCTTGTCTTCTGGAGAAAAACGCAAAAATAACAAACCCTTTTTTTGGAGGGAAGGGGGAGGGGGGGGGTGCTCGATATTATTGTTTATTTTCAGTTGTTTTTTATGTTTTTAACAAGATCGTTTGGTATTTTGACACAGAAAATACACAGAAGTTCCATATATTTTGTTTTGTTCTAAACTAACGGTTTACAATTGATATTTCAGTCACCAAAATCGACCCCGTCCTGTCTAGGTGTCATAACTATTACCCAATGGAGTGAGCCACAGAAAATACACGTTAATAATATTGTTCAACATTTTATATTTCAGTGTTCTGTAATCAGATTGGCACCGTGCTAGCTGGAATGCTCGAGTATATTGATTATAATCCATGCCCCATTGGTGCCGAGTATTACTATGATAATGATAAGTGTTATGTTGTTCGCAATAAAGCGGTGATCTGGAATATCGCTGAACGGAACTGCAAGAATATGGGAGGTTTATTAGCTATTATTGATGATGAATACGAGCAGCACCTCATCGAATCCATTACAGGGTAGGTATTCGCTTCTTGTCAAACGGCATGTTCACAATGTCAATATCTCATACCTTGACATCATTAAGCACTTTACTTTTTTTGAGTATTCGCCTCTCGTCAAACCACATCTTCATAATGTCAAGGTATTACGAATTTTGTCTTATACCTTGACTTCATTAAGCATTTTTCTTGTATGAAAGTAGTATGACGCGTGTCGGCCATCTTCACAATGTCAAACTACCACGAATTCTGTCTGATACCTTGACAACATTAAGCATTTTTCTTGTATCACGGAAATTTGTTAATTCGATTGTACGCTTGCGAATAGAGCCAATCAAAGCTCAATAAATGAGCAGGAACATTGTTTACAGTCTTTCTTTCGAGGTCTCTGATTGGCTGTATTCGCTAGCATACAATCCAATCAAATCGAGGCATTTACAATCTTCAATGATACATAAAGACAAGCAACTGTTTTAGTGGCATTGCAGGAACCGCAGGCGTCTGAATGAAATTGAGTTCATGCAAATTGATGCTATCTGTGTCCCCGATACACACAAAATAAGACAGCCTCTTTATCCGTTTTAGTATGAAATTTATTCACGCACCTGTTGAATTCCAGATCTTACAAATATTGGATTGGACCGAACGACCGGGAAAAGTCTCGTGTGTATGTAAATCCTGATGGTACAACACCTACCTATTTTAAATGGGATGATACCAGTAATGGTCAACCTAATGATGATATTGTCCTTAACGACCAAGGCTGTGTTTGTTTGACTAAAGCTAAATATTGGCACGATGAAGAATGTTATTATCCCGAACGTTATGTATGTCAGTTAGTTGAGCCACGTAAGTTTCATGCAATCAAGTTTCACTGTGACAGGTGTACCTCTTTTACTCATTATGTCATGTCATGTCATGTCATTGTGTCACGCTCGCACGTGGTCATTTTAAGTTTTGTTTTGTAGTTTTACACACGAACAATTGGTAAAGGCTAAATTTTAACGAACGTGCCAAAAATGTTACATCCATTTTAATTTGGTTATTCGCTTTGACATGTTTCGGGAGTGTTTCGGATATAAAATCCAAAACAGGACAGCAAGTGTTAGGCATGGATGTAAACTTTTCAATACAGGGCCTGATATACCCACAGTTGGCCAACTTACTGAAATATTTTTGTTTTTGCAGGTAATTTCTTGCAGTTAACTTTTATACATTTGAAAGAATTGGAATTTATTGACGGTGATACGTTTACGTTTCATACCACTATTAGCAAGATCAAGTGCCAAGTTCTGTGCGTGTCGTATCAGATATGCATAGGCTATTTGTGGGATACATTTGCCGAAAACGACAATTGCCAACTAATAAGTCCGTCAATAGGTAGTAATCTCACTGCCTACCCGGATGAAATGATGTATGAGGTGGTCGAACGATGACACTTAAGTAATTCGTAAGGGGAGATTAATATCTATAAAAAAAATAGGCCTACAAAATCAAGGCCTCTATATACAAGATATATCGACATAACACGGTACGACACGACAAAAAATTAGAAACAATATAAACTGCATAGACTATACAAACTGGGTACGGTACGACACAACACTGTACGACATTCTTTGTCGTGTCGTTCTATGTCGTACCGAGTCGTATTGTGTTGTGTCGTATCTGCTGTAGAAAGCCCTTAAGTTATGGTTTAATATTTTCCGAAGATAGTGATGAAACTTATTTTCCTGATATTTATGTGTTTTATATGTCAAAAGAAATGGAGCGTTTAAATAATGATGCCTTCTTATGCAATATTTGTAGTGTTTGTTATGTTGAGCATCAATGACGGGTGTGGCGCAAGGCAAGGTATGCTTACTCTTTTCAACACCTGATACCACTTTTCATTATGAAATATTTCCTCACTTATGATTGATATACTTCCTCATGTTAAACGTTCATTAGCTGCTATCATTGTTTCGCCAATATGTTGTTTTGGCTTTCGGGTTTCGTTTTGCGGTTCGGATCGTTAGAACTTTTTTTATTTATCCTTCAGAAAAGCACTGTTAAAGTATTGATTGTACAGAATTACGTCTAAGGTAAAGTGGAAATAAAAATAATGACTTATATTTACAAAAAGTGAACGGTGTGAGATTACGTCATCCGGATTCTATTGTGTCTATCATTCGACATCGTTCACAACACCGGTATCCTGATGGTGCTTCTCGTTTGAGGAGTCCACAACTATACAACTATTGCTCTCGATTTTGTCTTGCTTCGGACAAGATTTTTGGTTATTGGAATTGTTTTGCTTGTTCTTATTTTTTAGACCCTCGCCTTTATATTGTTAGTGTTGGCTTTTATTTACTAATCCGTAAATCTTGTCAGGATCAAAATTCGGATTATTTGATACAGCATCCCCGTAGAATGTATTTGAATTGTAATCCGGATCTCTATCAGTCCACGAATCCGGCTTGTTAACGACCCCATAATCCATGCTGGCGTTGAAGTTTCGATAGATGTTTTCTGGCGTGTCTTCAATGGGATCTGCGTCATAAGAACTATCAAAATCTTGATCTCCAATTGTCCAATCATATTTGAGTGATGATGGGCGCTGAGCAATAGAGTAGTCGTTGTTAGCTGGAAATCCATCATGTTCTTTAGCTAATGACCTGATAGGACCTGAATAGAAAAATAAATCATATTACCTTATTTAAACAGACACGTTCGTCGTCCATGTGACCAATTGTTCCTTAATATCAGAAACCGTATTTTCTTTAGCTGAGCTAATCAGTAATAGTGTTTACAGCTCACCGTCAAAATTCCATGTGTGTCCAGAATTATTAGCGAATAAAAGTTAAAATGACAACTCGTCTTTTATTGATACTACGCCAAACCACGCCCCCATTTGTAATAATTCGAGACCATGTCAAAACCCGTATTCGGGATACGATGTTAATAAGACCATGCCAAAACACGTATTCGAGATACGATGTCAATAAGACCATGTCGAAACACGTATTCGGGATACGATGTTAATAAGACCATGTCGAAACTTGTATTCGGGATACGATGTTAATAAGACCATGTCAAAACACGTATTCAGAATACAATGTTAATCAGACCATGTCAAAACACGTATTCGGGATACGATGTTATATGACCATGTCGAAACACGTATTCGAGATACGATGTCAATAAGACCATGTCGAAACTTGTATTCGGGATACGATGTTAATAAGACCATGTCAAAACACGTATTCAGAATACGATGTTAATCAGACCATGTCAAACCCGTATTCGGGATACGATGTTAATAAGACCATGTCAAAACTCGTATTCGGAATACAATGTTAATAAGACCATGTCAAAACTCGTATTCGGAATACGATTGGACAATCATGTCTAATCTTTAATCCCTATTCAGCCCCTTCACCCAATGATTTGTAGAAAGGCCGCTAAATTGACCATAGAAAAACACCAACCTTGAGCTTGATCTACGTTTGGTTTATTATGCATATACATCCCGATTATCATTGTGAAAAACAGAACCATGGCCGCAACAGAACTGCATACAGTTATTAGCATAATCGTCGTGTCATCTAAGGCGGATTGGTCAGACATGGGTGGCAAATCTGAAACTAAACGTTAGAGATATTTGTTAAAGGGACTGTTCCCAAACGTTTAGCCCTCTGTACCACTTTCTATATTCAAACTATGCAAATAGCAAAAGTCTTGAATCGTAGGCAAAAAAATGCTTCTCGGGTACCCTCTGTGCTGGTTGCTTGTATCCCCGGGCTTCCCAGAGGTTCATAGCACCGAGGTTGGGATACATTTAAATTTATAAAATATCTGAATAAAAATTGTATTTCATCGAAAAGTAAAGTCAATCAAAATCATCGAAAAATTTAATATTGAATTTTCATTCTTGAATTTGTCAGTATGCTATCCTACTAACCATTTCTTACAACTCTTATGTGAAGAGATTTTGTGTTTGACAATCGACCATAAACCCCTACACAACTCCATTGTATTGTCGTTGAAAAATCTTCAGCCTTCACAACCGTTAACTTCAAGACATAACCAGAGCCAAAAGATTTTGCTGTACATCTGTAGTCCGATCTTTTGACATCATTCTCGAAATGACATGGTTTACCACGATTTGAAGCAATATAATTTTTGTTCTTCCTCAACCAAACTGACTTATACTTATAATTTGTCGGACAAGTAATACTGTAAGTTTCTTCTGCCCACACGGTGGTACGGTCTGCTCGGATTGTCAAATGTTCTGAAACGGAAACGCAAAGTTATAAAATTTCTAAGCCGAACATGGTTACTCGTACATATTACAGATTTATAGAATATTGGCTATCGTGGGTCACACAGACCAGGTACGTCTCTTTGACTAAATTTATTTTTCGAATTTTTTCGTTGTTGGAAATGCAGAAGAAAATGTTGCATATTTACATAAATGTTACCAATGCATGCCACTTTACAGCTATAGAATAGGATGTCACCAAACAGTGTGCAATCGAGGAGAAAATGCATTTAACTACTCTATTTTCGATATCGATAAAAGAAACAAACTTGCCTTCTACAGTGCCCTGTATCCATAAAACCATCAGAACGCAAGTAAAAATACGCGAATACATCATTTCAACTGTCCCCAGAATTTGCAATTGTTAAAATAAAAAGTGATGCCCCACTTCCCTGTTGTATATGTTTAAGAGGAACATGAAATAAAATATAATATCCGCCATTTGATTCAGGAAGGCTGAGTATTATCATTGTATACAGTATAACAGGAAATCAACTGCAATTCAAATTACAGTGGCTTGGTTTCAGTCACAAAAGGCGTACCACGCTCTGCAACATATCACGGGTAGGTATCTAATGGCAAAAGGTGTTTGTCGGTATTTAATTTATAAACCTCTAGTGACTTCATCACATTGTTACGATGAGATTTTGAATCTCATAAACGAGGGATAGTATATATTCATTCTCAAGAAGACTTGATTTCATATATACATATATATTAAATTTGAATCAAGAAGTCCTTAACAAATCTAGCTCAATGGTCGTCAGTTGATTGACCACGTTTGTAGATACGAGTTGCACCCCTTTGCCAGAAAACGTTTCTTGGCAGAGAATGTTTTGAATTTATTAACAAAGATTACGTTGGTTACGCTTGATTTGTGAGTTCTGAGCGTTCGGGGATTAGGATGAACGCTTTGTATCTATGCCGAAAAAAGTAGTTGGTCCAGACAAATTTCAAAATGGCGGAGAAAGAATTATGACGGGACAATTTTTTTTGATGAGACACTTACTTCTTCCGAGCGGGACAGTCGGAACATGTTCAGAACCCTCGATCGACATTTCTTCTTCACGGAATCCTCTAGCAAGGGACACGCGGTTTCCCCAGTACGTTGTATAGATTTAGGGTTTCGTTTTGTAGTTTTGATCGTTAATCGTTAATACTTGTTTTTTTTTATATTTATTTATTTATTATACAAATACAAGTTCGTTCTATATTGGTTACCGGGACAGTATAAGTACATTCGATCTATATACATATCAATATATCTGTTAAAAAAACTTCGTGGCCACATGTGTTCGGCGAGGTAACGGTCGATTTATTTTATGAACTTTACAGATAATATCTTAAGCTGGCAACATTTGGGAGTTCATATTTCAATCTGTAAGATGTGAATATTGGAAAACTATTGATCATCAAGCATAAAAACTATTTTTCATAGTTAGTTGAAAAATCACTCACAATTACATTTGGCTGAGCTTTTGAGGAATTGTCAAATTAAAAGCTCTCCGGAAGGATTTATACATTGCAGTATAAATATTATTTGATAAAAGTCTCTCGTGAATTTTTTCCAGTATTGACAATTCATGCAATCTTTCGTGCTTGTTTTAACCAATTACTTGTGCCTGTTTAAACCAATTTAGTGTCTGTTTTAACCAATTTCGTGTCTGTTATAACCAATTACTCGTGCCTTTTTTAACCAATTACTCGTGCCGGTTTTAATCAATTACTCGTGCCTGTTTAACCAATTAGTTGTGCCTGTTTAAACCAAGTTCGTGTCTGTTTTAAGTAATAAATTGTGCCTGTTTTAAGTAATTGTGTCTGCCTGTTTTAAAAAATTACTTGTGTCTGTTTTAAACAATTATATGCGCCGGTTTTAAACAATTATATGCGCATGCGCCTGTTTTAACATTTATATGCGTCTGTGTAAGTATTTGTGCCTGTGTGTTTTATTCAATTACCTGTTGTAACATATTACATGTATTTGTGCGAGGTTGAAACAATTACTCGTGCCTATTTAAATCAATTATTTGAGACGGTTTTCACCAAATACACATGCCAGCTTCATCCAATTAATTAACTGCTTTGAAACCAAACAATGACTGTCAGAAAACCAAGTTTCAGAATAATTCTACTGTTGTTTATCTTATTATTCCTTCTGATTCTTGTTCAACACAAACGTGAGTAAAATATTTGGTTGGTTTTTTATTTGATTTCTTCCTGACAATAATGGATCAGTTGTGATTCTAGAAATTCTTGGATAAGGGGGTGGAAGTAGAGGCCACAAATCGTCGGAAGTTGGAGGGTGAGGGTGAGTAAGTCTTTCCCTCTGTTTTATGAGAAGAAATTTAAAAGTGGGGGTGCGGGGGCACCGTCAAATTCGTAGTTATTCCCCCCTTATTGATGTTTCTATTTCAGATAATGATCTGGAGTCTTCAACTGTCAATCAAACAGTTTTCAAGTACCTCGACCAATCAAAACATTTGACATCAGTGACAGAGTCCGGCCAATCGAGCATTAGGGTTGCTTGTTTTGTGCTGGCAACTCCTAATGCTAAGGCAAAAATGGCCGCCGTTAACGAAACGTGGTTACAGAGATGCGATACATATTTCTTCTTAGTTACAGCAACTCATGGCCAGCATGATGTAGTCAACGTTACCATTCCAGAAGGCAGATCGTATCTGACTGACAAAACCGTATACGGATTTAAATACATGTACGACTATTTACTGAACGATTTCGACTGGTTCGTAAAGGCGGACGACGACACGTACATGATCGTAGAGAATCTGAAATTTTATCTGTCACATTATAAAGGCGATGCACCGGCTTACTCGGGACTACACTTACGGCATTTCTCACCCAACGGATACATGGCCGGAGGTCCCGGATACGTTTTGAACAGAGAAGCATTGAGACTGTTAATCAAAGGATTCAACTCGCCAGGTTTATGTCGACTGACAGGAGGTGCTGAAGATCTAGAAATCGGACGATGTTTAACCAAAGTTGGCGTTACCATTATTAGCAGTTTAGACAAGTTTCGAACCCAAACTTTTCAAGGCACCCGGTTCCATTCCTACATCGATAATACAGTTCCATCCTATGTACCGTTCTATCTTAAAAATAAAGATAACTTGGTAAGTGATCTTAGAAAATTATGGATCAGGACCGGCGGAAGTGACGACAGTCCAGTATTCAGATCAATGGCAAATTGTGGCAAAGCGAAACCCAAAGTAGAGTAATATGACAGCCTCTTCGAGTTTCGCTAACCCACAATTCGTTATCACGAAAGTGGTTCGACATGACACGATTTGATTGGATGACTATGACGTCATTAGAACGAGACTGTGGTAGAAAACTTGTTAGATTACAATGAAGATGGAAATTAGCAAAATGAAAAAAAAAACCAAATTTTAATCTAATTCTAGTCATCCCCGTCGTTAGGGTTGAGTCTGTGGGTTTGGGCTCCAGCAAGTAAGAAATGAGCCCAAGAAAACCTTGTTCAATTCAGTAGAGAGGTTGATTCATTTACAGTGTCTTTGTACAAAATCAAAAAGATATAGATTTTGATACGTTTTTTGGCACCTCAAAATTGTTAGAAATGAGTTCTCTGGACCTTTAATTCTTCAAATTTTCTGAATACAAAATCTAAGCCCCAATACCAATTCATTCACAGGGCTGATTCTAGTTAGGTTGAGTGCGGGGTCGTTGTACGTATTTTCATTTCAATATTGGTATGGCTATAAATTGACATGTTATTTTAATAACTGTTTCAATAGTTTACAAGGTAACAAGTGTTTTTGAAGGAGAGCTCTATTTCGTCCTCTAGGGGGTCGATAAGGCTCGAGATTTCAATAACTGTTTCAATTTTCTTTCAGAATAAAGTGAGTCGGTTCACAATCAGTTTCCACCATATGGATCCCAATATGATGCACCACATTGATTTTATTCTGTATAATATTCAAGTGAAACAACCGGATATTCACGCTTCTAATTATTTTGATATGGAGATAGTTCAACCCAGTTCTAATATATCTAAGACGAATATTATGGAATATTTTTTTGAGAAAAGAGCGGAATATGATGACATTGAAAGCTGGAAGAAGAAAAATGCCACAGTTTTAGGCAACGAGAGACCTTATCGACGCTGAATCTCAAACATCCAGTATGGATTTGTGACAAGACGTATAAAGGGTTTACTGTGTCAGAGAGTTAAGCCCTTTTTTTTTGCTAATTCCCAATGTGGCAAATTCCCAGTCTAATAAAGAAAAGACCAAACTTTCGTTCCGTCGATCTGGCTGTTGATTGGTTGATTCTTTCATTCTTTTAAAGCTTTGTTATCTTCCGCCTTTTGATTTAATGTTTGACTTTTCGCAAAAATTGTAATTTTGAAAACTTGAGCTAATTAAGCCTTCACTGACTGACTGAAATGAAGGTCTGGTTTAATTTCCCATAGATTTCCTCAATGAATAATATTTTCCTTCTTCCTGTGTGAATTGCCAGGGTTTAAAGGGAAAGATTCGCCATTCTCGGAGGTTGATTTGGGTCTCGAACATATGTTAATAGATATAGAAAGTAAAATTTCTAGTTCGAGATATATTTGAAGGAATTGTTAACGGCTCTAATACTTCTGAAGACTATTTGCATATTATATTCAACATATCAAACCTTCGAAAATGGCGAATCATGCCTTCAAGCTATTAAGAGAAACATTATACTTTCTCCCCGAATGTTTTCCTCGTAGTAATTGATCGCCTTAGTTCACCCATTGTGAGAGGATAGCGAGACACTTTCCTTTAAGCCTTTTTGATATTTAAATTCATTTATGCACGTATCACGATTAAATATAAACCCAATACAGATTTAGGATAGTATTACAGAAACTTTGTAAAGTTTTGATGTGTTTGATATCGTTCATAATCCAAAACTGTCTACGCTGACAATTGTCAAAAATGCGCCGGATAAATTATCTATTTGGATTTCTGCTGACAGTAGGCGGTAAGTTTATTCTGTTTCCCTTTTTTGAGATCATTTCATGTTTAAATTGTATATGAAGAGTTCAGTTGTCTGAAGATCTCTACTTGTCAAACTTCAGTAGGGACACAGGCTGAAATATGCCAGTTGTCTTAAGATCTCTACTTGTCAAACATCAGTAAAGACGGGGGCTGAAATAGGCCAGTTGTCGTAAGATCTCTACTTGTCAGACTTCAGTAGGGACACAGGCTGAAATAGATCAGTTGTCTGAAGATCTCTACTTGTCAAACATCAGTAGAGACGGGGGCTGAAATAGGCCATCCCCCAGAATGTTGTATTGAAAATCCAAAGACATACGAGAGCAGTTCGACCATTCGACTAAATTCAAAGATTGTTTTTTTCATTCCAGGGTCGTTGTCGACAGTCGTCAAGACTAACGAATCAGAGAGCGTCACATTGGATTTCCAAGTGTATTGCTCAGAACAACCTATATCAATTGTAAATAAAAACAATGTAACTGTAGCGACCTGCAGCAGTCCACTATATAGTACAGTAAGTCATTTACGCTCGTTCTGGCTTAAGGCACTGTCTTTGCCACCGATTTTTTAGAAACCATTCTAGACGGTCAGGAACAATATTACATTGGGTGCTGATATCTTTAATCTGAAGAGACAGTAGGGACACAGTCTGAAATAGATCAGTTGTTAGAAGATCTCTACTTGTCAAACTTCAGTAGGCCTACGGACTTCAGTTGTATGGTGGGAAGATCTCTACATGTCAAACTTGGGTAGGGACACAGGCTGAAATAGTATGGTGCCTGTGTTTGGGGATGAGTTAACATTTGACAAAATTTCGTCAGATATTAACATACATTTTTTAGTTCCAGATCAATCAAGTTATATTCACAGAGCGGTATTCAATTGAACCATCATTCAATACAGTAAAGATTAATATCACCAATATCACCATCTCTGATGCCGGAACATATAACTGCACCAACAGTACCCATTTCATTCCCGGGTGTTCTCATAATCTTCTGGTTTTTCGTAAGTGTGTTTAATATTCCCATCTGCATGGAATAAACTCATCTGAGATTGCGTCTACTCAATCATCATCATCTGAGTTCCCCACATCATCATCACCATCCATCATTATCCGTGATCATCATCATTATCATCACCAACAACACCACAATCATTATAGTCATCCTGATCATCATCATCATCCTGATCATCATCATCATCATCATCATCATCATCACCATCAACACCATAATCATCATCATCATCATCATCATCATTATCATCACCATAATCATTATAGTCATCCTGATCATCATCATCATCATTATCATCACCAGCAACCACATAATCATCATCATCATCATTATCATCACCAGCAACACCATAATCATTATAGTCATCCTGATCATCATCATCATCATCACCAGAAGCAGTATCAGCTTCATTGTGTGATGGCCTAGTAATATTCACAGTTCACGAAATAACACCGATCGTTTAAAGCTTCAAAATTTCAGTAACATACCTTTCCATCTATTTAACAGGCAAACCAGATCCACCACGAATACCAGGGGGGTTTGATATACCAAATATTGGAGGGGCAGTTTCTATGAATTGTAAAGGAACGTCCCGTTCAGCCCCAGCAGAATATTTCCAAAAACAATCAATGGAATACAAATGGTTCGTAGACGATGTATTAGAGTTTACTGGTGATCCATACACTTTTAGTCTTACCGAGAGCCTACGCAATAAAAGTATAAGCTGTGCAGTTCAAGACTCTGACGAATTTGGAATCCAATCAGATGCAAGTGAACCCTTGATTCTCTTGCCAAAAGGTAACTTCATCATTAGTAATGATTATGATAATAATTCCTGCACAACGAAAGCAATTCCATTATCTTCAACATCGTCCTCCTTCTCAACATCGGTATCATCAAGTTCAAAGAATGTCAAACGATGTTATTCAATGACACGACTTCATCTGTATTATGAAATATGAAATACCAACTAAATCATGAACTGATGTGTTGACATTTTGACAACTCATTTAGAGAGTCCACATGTCTTAAAATTCATTTGGCCTTTATTACAGCTACAGCTACTCTGGGATATATGAATCCTCTGTCACATATTTATAAAGCCCTGAAAGGTTCTAGTGTAACCCTGACATGCAGTGAATCAAGAACGAGAACACCACCAATATCAAGGTACAGATGGACAAGAAATAACGAACCTCTTTCGGAAAAGGGCAGATCATTCGTTATTGCCAGAGTGGAAACCAACCATGCAGGGGAGTATGAATGCCAAGCCGAAAATTCCGAAGGACGTAGCAATACTATAACAAAGACATTGCAAGTTTTAGGTATGTTGTTCAGAGCATTGAACGCATACTAAGGTCACGAGCATACTCATCTATTTTTCTTTTATTAATAATGAATACCTACTTAATTTGCATAAATCCAAGATGACGGATAATGTCGTTTGATAACTTATCAATATATATCGATATATTCTTAACGAATATCACCGACGACCTCTCTACTTGCATTGCACAGTTTGTTTTCAGCAACGACAAATTGTGGACCCTTCAATCAGCGGTCGGTCGAAATTTCCTCTTTTCAATTTTCAACCAATTTCACTTCTCCACGATTGTGTTAAAAAGCTACCGCACAATCACGTGTATACCTGTCTCAACAGTATTATTTGCCCATTTCATCTGTATCGTTTATCATTACAGTTGATCCTGTACTAACTACAGATGAACGCATAGAAACCAGTGATGGGCATGTGGAATTAAAATGTAGTTCATCACTTAACGATCAAGACATTGTTTGGTTTAAAAGTGGTTCAATGGATATTTTGCACGTGGGTTCGACATTCAACGCACACGTCACTAAATCAACTAATTTTACTTGTCAGGTTTCCGCCATTTTGACTCCAACTATTGGTTCACCGGTGGTAAAGGGAGCTAACTCAACCATCTCTGTTATATACAAGTGTAAGATTGTTTATTCTGACCACACAGCGACTGTCATTGTGCTAGCCCTGTTAGCTGTGCCAATAAGCGTCCATGTAGTACATAGTATATATTGTAATTTTACAGTTACTGGTATTTTACCAACGTAAGGGAAATTATCACTGTTATCACTATTTTTATATCTTAATCTGTTAGCTTTTTCGACATGCGACATCAAAATAAGCGAATTTCAGTTTTCTCTAGCAAAAGTTTCTGAGATTAAGCATAATTCAGTTGAATCTTTGGTAATGTGCGGTTGTAATTTAAAGCATTGACTTAAATCCAAATTTGTGGTGTAAACCAGTGCTTGAGTGCTACTATACAACTTTTACTTCCGATTTTGCCAGTCTTTGGACGGAATTGTCTTACTTGTACGGATTTTTATTTCAATTGTAGATTCTCCAATTCGTAAAACCCATCCTCTTCAACGAGAGATCACATATAACAGGTACGTAGGGCATCAATTTGCGGAAGCAATAGAATACGATGCTTACCCGGAGATCGCCGATGCTTACTTACAGACCCCAACTGGACTACAGACCAAACTCAGTGTTAAATTGATCGGCAACACCGTGCAGATATCCACTGGACATCTGACCAAAGAAGATTGTACATCTTTCCAGATGGAGGTGCAAAATACAGAAGGAGAAGACCATATCGATATCAATATTCGTTGTAAGTTTTTAATAGATTTATCTCCTTTTGCAAGTCAAGTCTGGTGGTCCAATTCACTAGTCCAAAATTAATGCGTCTGTAGTCGTGCGTCTACACTGAAGCGTTTAAAATTGTTTACATTTAAACATCTAAAACAGATGGACGGACTGTATCACAGTCATGGAAAGCGTTGGAATCGTTCCATGGCGTCATTTGCTTGCTTATGTCGAACTTATAGTGGTCGTGTTCTAATCTCGGTCGATGTACGAGAGTCTGGTGACCTTGAATTAGTCATCATTCCTCGTAATTACAGTCGACCCAGCTGTAAAGGGTATGGATAACCAAGAAACATCATTGCCAAGAGGTTTGGTTGGTCGAAGAACAACTGGTAGAAAGGATCCTCATGAACCTATTTGTAATCATTTTAGAATTGGTTGTTTTTTTCTGTACATTTTTCATCTCAGCGCATTCCTAGTGTCATTTCATTGGATTCATCCATAGGTTACCCTCATGCTCCTAGTGATGTAACCGCCATTTTGTCCGTGGGCCAAGTGACTCTCAAATGGACTCCCGGGTTTGATGGTGGACATAATCAGGTATTCAGAGTCCATCAATCAGTGGATGGTAAAAGCTGGAAACAGTATTATAGTTCGCATGATAAGAATGAGGTTACCGGACAGATTAAGACCGTGGTGATGGGTTTATCATCAGAGAAGATCCAGTTGTTTAAAGTCATTGCTGATAACGGTTTAAGCTCTGACGACAGCAATATTGCCTTCACTTTTCCGAAAAAAGGTGAATACTTGTATATCATTAATATAATTTTAGCTGTTGACAACTAAGAATTATTGTGGGATAGCGAAACCCAAAGTAGAGCGATGACCAATGACATTGTGAGACTGCCGATACTCGCTTGTGATTCTGATTTGTGGTGCTATAAATAGCTTGTAGCGTCACAAGTACGCGACCTTGGTATAAATCTCGTAAGATAACTATGGAGACAAAAGAAAATTAAAGATTAAACGAAATTGTAATATAATCCAAGATGTCGCAAGTGAAGCTTTTCATACTCGCCCATTGGAACATTTAACTTCAACATTCAAATAGGCCCAACCGTAATTGCACACTTGGTATTGGTTTTTATTATATTCCAGAAAAGGAGTCAGATTCCGGCCCTGTGATTGGTGGAGCTATATCTGGTGTGGTAATATTTATAGTTATTGCTATAGGGATATTCATATATTGTAGATTTCATTTTTTGCCAGGTACGTTTCTCCTGTGTTCTCGAGTCGCTCAATTGGTGAGTTCTGAACAGGTTTTGTCATTCTGTTCCAACTTGTTTAATTGACCGTGCAGAACTCACCAATCAGAGCGAATCGTGCAGAAGACAAAAAGCTACGAAATATTTTTGACGGTTGGGGACATGAATTATTCTATGGTCAATTGCTCATGCCTGGTGGGTCAGTATAAAGAGCATTAGTTTTCTCCCTTGACACAAACTTTCGGTTATTTTAATTCATTGATAAATTATCTCCCTTTATTTCCAAACTTCAAATGGTGATCTGAACACCAAAATGATTTGTTCTAAAGACTGTGAAAATCACTCCAAGTATTCTGGTGAGTTTCATTGGCCATGTTCGGTCTGTCAGAGCACTCGAGACCCGGTTGGAGACTAGACTTGTCAATTCTGTATCACTTTCTAGGTACTCCAGCTAACCCGGTTTCCCTCCTGTCAGTGATGCGGGTACGAGGGGCTAACATGGAAAAGCGTCTTGTCGTTCGGATGGGAACAATAAACCGAGGCCCCGGGTGCTACAGGCTGTGCACGTTAAAGACCGTCCTGGCAAAATTTCCCTTATTGCACCCTGCATGGCGTTGCCCGTCTTCATTAGCCCACATGGTGCAGAAAAGTAGGACGTAAAACTCCATTCATGTCATTTGCGTACTCCAGCTAATATTTTTATACATTGATTTATTTCAGCTCGGCAGACGAAAAATGGTCCAACAGTCAAGGGTAAGTGTCATATTGTAATAGAATTATATACGACGATTTTTGCTATTGTTCGAGACCATGTATGTTCAACCTTCGAGGATGAGGAGTATTGCTTGTTGGTATCCATGGAAACAGATAATGAGAATAACAAATACATATATATAATATATAAATATATATTAGCCCTTAATTAGCTTTACAAGGAGCAGGGTCACATCTAATTTTTCGTGGGTAAAAAATTCAAAAATGTTTCTGCACGGCGTAATCAAAATCAATGTCGTAGTCAAAATTGTTTTACTGAAGAATGAATATTAGTAATGCTATACTATACGAATAGGGTTGTCTACTCAACACCAATTTCATAACTTCGCATAACTCAGTGGTTATTCGTTAATAAATGATTGTATTACAGAGAGTGATTATGCGCGGCCGGTAGCCAGACCAGCTGTTGCTGCTGATGATCTGAAAGACTATGACACCATTCAGAAATGCCAGTATGAAAATATAAACTACAATACCAGAACAGGTCAGGCTAACAAATATATATTTCTATCATATTTCCTTTTAGAAGCAATCAGTGACGTATTTAGGCCCCAAAAACTTGTGAAATGCACTATTTTGAAGTGATATATGGCCTCTAAATGCCCAATATTCATCTCAAGCCATCTGGAATCCGCTGACATCGAGGATCTTCGTCCATTCAGGCCTCACCTCAGAAACACCTTTCATTTCTCTTCAGCTCGGGTATTTTCTAAATACGCCACTGACAGACGATAAGTTAATTGCCGATACTTGTCTTTTCAGATCATATTGGTGGTAATCTTTCTAGCAACCATTATGAGAACCTTAGACAGCCGCGGAAACTGACAATGAAGCCACAGGTCATGCCCAAGCCAGTTAAACCCAAACCTCCATCAAAGCCAAATCAGCCCTCGTCGTCTTAAAACCCTTACCACTAAGACTTCGTCTTCACGATGTTCAGCTACGAACTTCGTCTTATACCTTGACTGTAATAGCAACCTTTCTTGTATCATGGAAGTTCGTCAATGCAAAGATTTGATTGGATTGTACGCTAACGAATACAGACAATCAGGGCCCTCGACAGAAAAACTGTAAACCATAAGCCATAATGTTTACAGTCTTTATGTCGAGTGCCCTGATTGGCTGTATTCAAATCGTTACATTCCGTGATACAAGGATTGAATGATGACTATTGTAGTCAAGGTATAAGTACGAAGATTGTATTATATTGACATTGTGAATATGAGACTATTTAGAATCAATATACGATTGTACGTAAAGCGACGTAATCGTCTAAACATGTTCTTACCGAGGTAATTGAAGTTTATTTCAGAAGTGAAAACCAATCGCTAAAATGTAAAGAAGTGGTGATATGCGAATACGAGGAGTTACCTCCCTTGAAATGTGAAATTAGTTTCATAATTTTACTTCTGTTACTTATCACACGAGTCTAAATATTTCCAAATTTTTTTACGAGCGCCGGAATAACATAACGCAGGTGGTGCTAGATATTATAACGTGTCCTGTCCGTGCGTGTCTTCTTTTAATCTTTTAATCAGTTGTTATATAAACAAACAATAAAAACATCATATATAAACTACCAAGACATTTTGCTTGATTTTAACTCCGACGTCCGTGCTCTTGATGAATTGATTCTTAAGACGGGTATGGCTAAGCAGTGTGCAGTGAGGGTAATTTTTCCACGACGGGGTCATTACCTTACACATGTCTGTCCTCAAATTTCGGGGACTTTTAAAGTGAACTATCTACAGAATTTAAGTGTATATACGTTTATTTCACCGATCTGTTGTTCCTTCAATATGTGATTCCATGCAGTGTGCAACGAGGGTAATTTTGTCCTCTTTTGTTGATCTTTAACGTTTACAGCTTATAGATATCTTAAGTGTTTATTGTGAAATCACCGACCAATCCTTCAATATTTCTATAAAAAGTTGATTCCTAAGACGGTTGACGCCATGCAGTGGGCAATGAGCGTCTTCACATTACATTTTTCTATCCTCAACTTTCGAGGTATCTTTAACGTTCAAACATACACTTCAGATATTTTAAATGTTTATTGTGATATCACCGACCCATCATCGTTAATTATATCATCGTTTCCTACAATGCCTGTAATTTGTGTTATTAATCAACTATAACTAATTAAATAGGAGTGTAATTAATTCTCAATCGCTGGATAATCAAATACAAATTATAGGATCAATATCGAGAAATAGTTCTATCTTCCACCATAACTTATTAACCGGCCACGTTCTAATCTTCGTTATATTAATCATAGGTTAATTATACTCCAAGATCCTAGTGACCTTTCTGAACTGGTGAATTTATTCATCGCCTTACTTTAAAGGGACGGCTGCGCCATTTCTTTTCAACCAATCATACCTTAGGCTCAGAAACGGGAAGTTTTAAGCTTAGCCAATTAGTTATAATGTTCACAGCTCACCGACGGAATTACAGAAGCACAGACCGGGGGCCAAGGGTGTATACCGTGTATAGTTGCAGTAATGGAATTGGTCGACTGTCAGAATTTTTTCAGTGGGGCAACCTCTTCCCCCGCCCCCTCCTTGCCCCCTGAAGCTACGAACCTGTGAGCTTTTCTTGAATTGTTCATCGACGTCGGACGGGATATCGGCTTGCGACCCAGTGTTACGCCTGTGATATGTCATACATGTGACAAATTTTAGAAGTAAAAAAAAGTGCTAAATCAGCAGATTAAGTGAGATCTACCCACTGTTATTCTGTCATTATGAGATTAGCAACTGAATTATCCTACAGACGTTTTTTTACAGTTTTGTGGGAAATGGAAAATTGTGTAACACGCTATGTTAGAGATTAAGTATGCAATTATGCAAGTATCGGCTAATATTTTACCTATTTCTGATACAAGCTTGTAGCACGCAAATGTCGGGTTTTACAGTTATACGGATTGTAAACATCTATATATCAATAAATTCTTACGTTTGGTTCCCCCGTCGAGTTGTATATATTGTTAAAGTTAGCAATTACTGAGCTGCTTCACTTTATAAACTAGAAATATACCTTACTTATTAATTTCAAGACAAAGTCAGTAGGTTCATCACACCTTTCCACTGTAGAAATATTCTTAGATTTTCTAACGCCGTTTGAATCTAGAAATGTGATGTCTATTGCATGCTATTGTCAGTTCATCAAGGACTGACAGACGAGTCTACTTTAGGAACATATTCTGACGAGACAGAACGGGCGAGACACGAACAACCTTAAAATAACTTTCATTCAAACGCAACTCGGGCGAAATTCTATATTTGTCGAATCGTAGGTGTTTAGGTGAGAAACTAAAAGTTTGTTGAATGAAGGGATATCTTTGATTTGTTTGGTCAACTCTGCAACCGGAGTTCAAAAATTAATAAACTCGAAAAGTATTATGACAAGATCTTTAAAGAGATTGTAAAGAGGTGTTCTTGACGTTTTATGAGTTAAGGAAACTAATAGCATCTATTTGCACCATTCCAATCACACTTCTGTTGTTCAAGCAAGTCTTCTCAAAGAAGTATTTGTTCCGTTCTGGCCTGTACATTTGGGAGAATCAAACCCTCCCTTCTCCGAAATCTATAAATACCGGAACCGCAGATGTTCCGACGGAAAACTAGAATGATGCAAATAGAAGCTAGGAATGGTCCCGAAACACATTGAAAACCTCTTTAGAATCCCTATCAGTAGCCAATGGGAATCGAAGGTATTTGTAGAAGTATTTAGTATACGGTCATCGTAGATAGTTACTTATCTAGCAACAGGCCTGGTGGATTATACAGGATATGGTATAATTTAGTATATAATGACTATTGCGCCGGACTTATCCGGTCGGAAATTATGACCTTTGTTTTCCATTAGTAATGGTGATGATCTTATACAACCAAGGCCGAGTTCATTGTTGTATAATTAATTCCATTTCACTGGTTAGAAAGAAATGAATGGAGTTTTACGTCCTACTTTACTGGTTAGAAAGAGACGTCAAGTCAAAGTGTACGATGTTTTTGATAAACATAGGCTACGATGTGGGCTATGTTGATTTTCCAAAATATGCCCAGTTGATAAAAAAAAATCCCTTCATATCTATACTTTCGTGAAAGGATGAACAGGCCGATGTACAATGCCAAACGTTTCCATAACACTTCCCGATTTCTATATTGTTACCCTCTTGCCCTTCAAAGACAAACTTACCCTCTAGAAAAAGACCAAACCAGAAGTCATTTAAAAGTTCTAGAACAGAATAAAATATCAAATGCCGAGAGTTTTATTTCTTACATCGACAACAAACTTCTTATATACCAACATTAACAGAAAAAAAGGCTTGATAAACAGGAAAAATTTAATTTAAATTTAACAAAAATATACACAGATTGAGTTTAATATCCTATGGTCTGTTATGTATTTTTTCATGTTGCACCATATTGCCCTTCATTGTGAACGCCTTGTGGCAAACCCGACATTGGTAAGGTTTTTCTCCGCGATGAGTCATGGCGTGGTGAACAAACTCTCGCTTTTCACAGTAAGATTTCCCGCAACCTGGTTCATCACATTTAAACGGTTTCGTTCCAGTATGGTTCATCATGTGGAGTCTCAGTTTCGAACGCCTGACATAACCCTTGTCACATTCTGGACACTGGAAGGGCTTCGATTCGGAATGCGTGAGCATGTGATTTCGCAGGTAAGTCGCAGCTCTAAAGGATTTGTCACATTTCGTGCATTTAAAGGGTAACTCTCCAGTATGAATACGCATATGGGTTTCCCACTCACGCTTTCTAATAAATTTGTGATGACACTCGTTGCATTCATACGGTTTAATTCCAGAATGAACCATCATGTGATCCCGTAAATGCGTGCTATCCGGAAAACGATGACCGCAGCTGTCGCATCGGAATCTTTTTACGCGCTCTCCTTGATGTTTTACCATATGATTAGTCAACTTCTGAGGATGAGAAAACATTCTTTGACACACGTGACACTGGACACAGGAGTTACCATTGTGAATACGACTGTGTCTCCATAAAGACCGAGTTGATTCGAATGTCTCAGAACAGTCATAGCATCTATAGACATCTTGGCCAGGGTGGTGCAGCTCACAATGTTCTTCCAGGGCGTAATGGAATCGGAAAATCGAATCACAATGTAGGCAATCGAGGAGATATGTTCCATTCAATTCACCTTGTTCTCCATTGGAACGGAGTTCAGAAGTGTCTCTAGACTTTTCAGTTCGTTTTTGTTCTCCTGATACGTTCTGCTGCGGGTCCGGAGTATCGGTTTGGTCTACTGAAGACTTCGGTCTTTCATTTTCCACCATCTCAGTTTCCGAGTCTGCAAAGCTACGATTTGATGCAGTTTGAGATTCAACAATTCCAGTACCAGTACTGTTGAGAAGTTGCTCCGAATTTTCTTCTAGAGGGGAACATTCGGTTTCTACTGTAGGAAGATCATACGTTTCCTTTGCCACAGAACTAGATATTAGTTCAGGAACAGAAGTACATGTCTATCCAGGAGCAGACGTGCCTGCTTGTTCCGGAACAGAAAATTTTTCTCCCCGATCAGAAGTGTGTGCTTGTACCGGAGTAAAAATGCTTGCTTGTGTTAGAGCAGAAGTGCATGCTTGTCCCGGAGCAGGACTACAAACAACTTCAGCAGGAGTAGACTGGAAAGTTTCCTCGAGATCAGAACTGCATATTTCTTTTGGTTCAGATATTGAGTGTGCGTTTTGACCATTTGACTGTTGATCTTCTTCTGTTGAACTTTGATCAGCTCCAGAATCATGTTTGGTATACATAAACTTAACGGATACATCACTATCGTCCGGGACAGTTGGTACATCTTGTGTCTCTGTCGATACCCCTGCCAAAGTCATCAGATTGGAAATGTCATCTTCCGTAAAGACAAAATCATTTGGGTGTTCCACCTCGATTATTTTGTCAGCTAGTTTATGGAGGGTAGTTGTTGTGTGGCGCTTTTCTGAAATCGTCTGTGTAGCAACCGCTTTAAACGATTGCTCGGTTCGAAGGACCTCTTTAGTTGACATTGCGCCATCTTGGTAATCAGGTTCGGCAGCCTGGTCATCTCCACAAAGTTCCGTCTTACTTCCAACGTTTTCCGTGAGTTTGTCCATCGGCTGATTTTGGTAAGAATGTTCGGATGATTGTTGGCTCGTGCTCGGACGAACAGCTTCACGTGACGGAGTGATGATGTTATGAATAATTATTGTCTCGCCTTCAGCGAAATTTGGTTCGTTCGTTCCCAATGAGGACAGGTTTAAACCACTAGTATCAAAGAGAACCACAGACGACTGTGGCTGGAGCGTCAATAACTCATTAGTAGGAATACCACCTGGCCTATTGTCAGATAATACAGCTCCTAGTTCATAATTCGTAACGTCATTGGACGTCTTTGACAATGCATCTGCTGAAGATTGATCCACAGAAAACTGGGTGACATTCGCACCAGAATTTGTCTGATCCACGAAGATCATGCCTAAACATGGAGTCAAAGAATGCGTTTTAAGTACCGATTTCCGCGAAAAACATTTACCACAACGTTCACATGGAAAGCGTTCAGCGACTTTGTCATGCGTTTTTAAATGTTGATTCAGATTACTTTTGAAGAAAAATCCTCTGTCGCATTCGGAGCATTTAAAGTTCTTTTTTCCCTCGTGGATCACCATGTGACGAAGAAGGCCATCTTTGGTCGACATTGCTTTACCACAACCAGGAACGTGACACTCAAACGGCTTATCTCCAGAATGACTGCGTTGATGGACAGTCAGACGATACTTGGTCACGTATGACTTGGTACATCGATCACATTTAAACCGTTTACTATTGTGGAGCAGTTTATGGTGTCTCATTGAATTGTTGGAGACGACGACGTTACATATTTCGCATCGAGTTTTACCAGGAGGCACATCACCGTCGTAATTTTCAGCTGTGGAATGTTTGGTGAGATGATGCTCTCTCAGCTGTGATTTATATCGATACGATACTTCACACAAGGCACATTCAAAAGGCTTCTCTCCGCTGTGAATCCTTAAATGATCATCTAGGTGGCTTTTACACCGGCATCTTTTATCACAGACTGGACATTGGTAGCGTTTCTTGCCATTATGAAGGAACATGTGATCAGCTAATCGCTTCTGAGATACGCAAACTTTATTACAGATTTTGCATTGTAGATCACTACTGCCTTGGTGGGTGACCATATGTTTAGACAGCTGACCGGCATCAATGAAAGTTTCATGGCACTCGACGCATCTAAAGGGCCGTTCTCCAGTATGAAGACGTTGGTGTCTCAACAAGGCATAAGGTGTGGACAGAACCTTCTTGCAGATGTTACAAGTATGATTATCACTTATGTCCCGTTTGACCTTACCCGAGCAATGTTTGGACAACTGTCCATGGGCATACAACTCAGTGTCAGTCTGAAACGACTTGTGACAGTTGAAACACTCGAATGGGTGCTCGTTTGTATGGAAACGAATATGGTTATCGAGGGCAAGTAAACATTCGAATGCAAGTTCACATTGTGGACATTTGAACAATATATCCGTGCTATCAATTATTTCGTCCTTCACCTTCATAGCATGCTCGGTATCCTCCATGACGGCTCTTTCTTCTTCTTCACTTTTGATTACAGTCGCCTCCTATAATGAAAAACAAAACATAAGAATTTCATTCGAATTAAATTTGTTCAAAATTGAACATCAATATTAAATTTGTGAGATTTGTGCTACAATACTATCTTGTTTCAATGATAATTTGATACGAATCGTCTGTAGAAGGATGAGTCTTTATGTTACGAAACATCTTGAAGTTGACTCCCAAACGCACTTCGAACTTTTACAAACATAACTATTTCGTCTGTTTGACACAAAAACAAAGTTTGATTGAATTAAAAAAATCAAAAGATAGAGGTTTTGAATTCATAAGCAAAGGCAGAGAAATACACGAGTAAAATATCATTCACTCAAATATTCGTCTGCTATGATGACAGACTTGTTAAATTCCTGGGTTACGAAACATCTCGGAAGTTGACAACACCACAGTTGATCATGGGTCACCTTCGATCACATTTAAGCGATACCTTGAAGATTTTGTGGAATTAGACCGGTTGCAAATGCAACTGGGGTTAAAGGATGAATTCAAGAGTTATTATATGGATATATAAGAATATCTAAGGCCAAATACACTCCGATTCCTTTTTATTTTGGTGTGTGTTTGAACACTGGTTAATCACGTCTACGACAAATTCAAATGGTAATACCAGTCTCATCTTGTCGTTGGATTATTTTTGAACATGAATGTAAATCAACTAATTATCTTACACCTACCATATATTACCTTTCTTTAGATAATTTTCTTTGAAAATAATTTATTAATACAGCCGTAAATGTGAAAGAAGAGACTAAACAGGTGGAAAATTGTATCAAACTCTTCAACACGTCTGCATTCGGACTCGTTGTTTACTTCCGCCTTATAGCATGTTCGTTCGATCGTAGCTACTGACTTGACTCAATATACTTTGCTATGAGTCATATCGACATGGAGACGATTCGACTTGTCATTTCGACCGAGCTGTAAATTTTGTCGATTGAAAAGTAAACCATACATTTTCATATCATGAAATTTTAAGTAATTATAGGATGTGTCAACATTATGAAATCGAAACAACTCAAACACTTCGATTAAAATGTATGGAATTTTTCTGACACGATTCGTATTAATATCTGTATAATATAGCTGTGTTTATTTGTTTTAAAAGCGGTGATATTAGTTTTAGGGCGTCAGGGACAATGATATAAATGAGCTATCGGTATTTTTATTTGTTCATCATTTTTCATCGTTTATTTATCTCCATTAATCACAAATTATTGTTGTATTTACAAAGTGTTCAGCGGAAATGAAAATGCAGTTTCTGAAAAAGAATAAAAGGTAAATTATTTTTAATAGACGATAGGCCCGATATTCAATTTGAGTAAAAAAATTCATTTATTGAGAAATAAATTGTATTACTTCTCGGAGACAAAACATGAAACAAGGTACATTCATATTCCCACGAAAAAAAACCGTTTAATTTTGGGCCTTCAGAGCTGCCGTTGTGAAATTGTTTATAAGGATGAAACATGTTTTCGAAAATACATTCGGGGCACAGGGAGTCTAATCACACGACTTGCGATATTTGGTTCTCTCCAATATCAATTCTTCTTTTGATGGGGGGGTTAGGGGTGTTATAACAAACCTCTTATGTCTATCATGAGAGTTGCCATTTGGTCAAGAACTAATCAAGTAACTACTGGAGATTACTATTTTACGACCAGAATTAATCTTGGCAATAACAAATCCAAGGTTATATCCCGTGGTCCGAATGTCGTTATGACTCGTTATCCACTTTAAAATGGCTACTTACAGATTTACTAATCAGGACTTATTTAAATACATCCTCTTAGAATGAAAAATGGAACCGAGATTTTCAAACTTGGACAATAAGGTTATATATATTCATCAGTGGACATACCAGGTGCCAACAGAATCCCTGTATAATAATTTAAAAGTCATAAAACAATCGGGTTTTTTTTTCTCAATAATTACGTAGTTGAAGATGGGACAGAACCGAGCTGGTATCAATTCTGAGGGCAGCATGGCCCGACCAATGAATGACCACCGACCCCTCCTATTGGAAACGCCACTGTCCGAAACAATCCCCTTGATGATTCTTTAAACAGCCGACCACCATGAATAATGAAAAGCGAAGCCAAGACGAAAGTAAGAAGTATAACTATAACAATACTAAATATCTGATGGTAATTCAATTAATACCTACTCAAAATTATTCCCCATCTCAATATAGACCGCGTTGAGTTATATATAGATATATATTGTTACTATCACCACCAAAATATACTCTGATGAACATATATTGGATGTATCACCGTCTGACACATACACGGTCAATGGGTGCTCCTGGTTCGAACCTTATTTCCAAAATAGATTCTGATGTATCACCGCCTGGAACATACACGGTCATTGGGTGCTCCTGGTTCGAATCCTATTTCCAAAATATATTCTGATGAATATATACTGGGTGTATCACCGTCTGACACATACACGGTCAATGGGTGCTCCTGGTTCGAACCTTATTTCTCTGATGTATCACCGTCTGGAACATACACGGTCATTGGGTCATAACTCTCCCCTATACAGGAATTCGAAAGAAGTTTTCAGCCTTTGTATTTGTATTGGGAACACTTACAATTTTTTAATTCTAGTGATTTTAGAAAACTTTTCCTGCTGAGAAATATTTTAGATAGTGACGTCATAATCTGCAAAAGTTTTTTGAAATTACTGAAAGCACAATTGTTGAACGTAAAATTACATTGAAGCAAAAGTAAGCTATCAGTTCAATATCCGCTATACACCATCCGATCCTGTTTTTCTCTGATAGTGTCGAAACTTTCCAATCTCCATTTTTTTTAACATGATAGCATTAATGATAGCTTTAACAATAAAAATAATGTAAAATGCACATTCTGTTATCAGTACAACATACAAAACATTACGTATACAGGCTCATAAAAAAGCCTATACAAATATATCCCAACGTCTGGAAGAATAAGTTATATTCTAAGCAAGACGATTTGAGAGTATTTATTATTTTAACAAACGGCGTAAGGTATTATCATATCCTGGTATTCTGGCCAAACAATTGCATAAAATAAAACAAACTTTTACGTGTGGTAATCTCATCATATTATTCATCCTTAAAAGAAAAGAGTCAAAACAAACCAAAGAAACAATCATATTGTGCAAGGAATCGACCTTGTATCTACTTGGATGCCTTTCCTTGGCCAATCCCTTTTGAAATGATGTTTCCTTGAATACTTTCTCTTGCACAATGTCAAGCTATTAAGAACTACGTCTGATACCTTGACTGCGAAAGCAATCGTCAGTGTATTTGCCTACGGAAGTTTGTAAATGAAGCGAATACAGCCAATCAGTGGCCTCGATTACGCAGTCAAATTGTTAACAATCTTTCAGGACTCTGATTGGCTGTTTTAGCTAGCGTACAATTCAACCAAATCGCTGTATTTATAAACTTCTCTAGTACAAAATAGGTGGCTATTGTTCAAAATCGTTCTGGCACTGTTTCTTTAATATACGGACGTAGGTTTTTGCATTTTTTCTTTCTCCTGCATTTATTGAAGTTAACTGAATTAGTAACTCGAAGATCAAGGTCTGCAATATCTAAATGTTAGCAAGTATATGTCAGAGTCTTAGAGTCTTTCAGGAATCCCTGCACTCTCTGGCATCTTCATCCATCTGTTCATCACGTGGTTCCACTCCACTGTCCTACTGAACTATTACTCAATGATATAAATAGATATAATAACGATACCCAACCTGGATGTGCTTAAAGTGAACTTGATAAATGCCTCAAAAGATGAGTTTTGATTTATCAAGGTGTCCGAGTTTTTCCATATGCGCCCTTGATCTCATAAGCTGATAAGCACCTCTGTGTATTTTCATCTTATCAGAATTGAATAAGATTTTTAAAGAAAAGACAAGAAAAAGAACTAACAAAAACAACCATTATTACAAGGATAACAACTTCGGTTCGCAGTAAAAGTTGAGATTCCTTTCTACTAGTTGGTCCTTGACCAAACCTCTTGGCATTGTTCTTTCCTGGATTATCTGCACGCATTTATAGCTGGATCGATTGGAAGAAAAGAACAGACGACTTATTCAAGGACACCAGACTTACAACCCACAACCATAATTATCTTGTTCGGCCTAACCAAGCAATTGGTGTCATGTAATGTCAGATTCCAACGCTACAACCGTGCTACAATCGGTCCTTGTCAACTAATGACACATGTTGATATACTCTTAACAGAGCAATCAAATTTATCGAACACGACAAAATTGTCAAAATTGCCAGAACCGGAAATCACATACTTCGTCTGCTTCGGCATCTGGTAGAAGTCATAATCTATTTATAGTAACAATAAGCTATTTATAGACATCGTTTATTTTTATGCTGAGATTAGGCATAAATAGCCACGGGGTATACATAAAAGATTTTCCGATAATGAGACTGTTCTGCTTTGCTATTTAATAATCATTTAGTTGAGTAATATCAAACTATTATGAAAGTCGTCTTTTACCTTGACACCTTTAGTCACCTTCCTTGTATCACGGAATAGAGTGGTTTGATTGGATTATCGCCAGCGAATACAGTCAATCAGAGACCTCGACCGAAAGACCGTAAACATTATGCCTTTGTGTTGGCAGATTTTCTGTCGAGGCCTCTGATTGGCTGTATCACTAGCGTACAATCCAATCAAATCGCTGTATTTACACCAATCTGCGATACAAGAAAGGTGGGTATTGCAGTCAAGGTATAAGACGTAGTTAGTAATAGGTTGATATTGTGAAGATGTCCCCCTTTAAATTAACGAAGTAATAAATAAGGCATTGCAGCCAACAAAAAGGTTAATTACTCCATTAAAATCTCAATTAATATCTCGTAATTTACACGAAGATATTTTACATACCTTTTAGCATTCATGATATAATGATTACA